GTGTTGCCATCTCAGAGTGAAAGCTAATTAATTCAGCTATTGAGATGATAATGGTTTCTCTTTCAGTTAATATCAGAGTTATTAAAAAAAAGGAAAGAAAGAAACCTGTAGAATTGCCCTATGTAATCTTCTTATGACTCATCTTGGAACAAGGAGCTTTATTCTGTTAACTATTGAGCGGTCTATCAGGACCTGTCACGGTTCTCAAGGCAAACGCTCCTGGGAGGAATTGAAGACTGACTCATATTGGCTAAAGTGGCCATTGAAGCCAATCATTTGATTTTCAAGGGGGGGGGAAATCCTCATTTGTCTACTGTTCCTTTAAAGTACATACTTTGGTATTTCCACTCCCAATATCAAGAATGGTCTGAAGCTTAGTGTCTCTCTCTCTCTTTCCCCTCTATTTAATTGGATTTAATAATTAGGAAGACTTAAACATCTTTCCTTCTGAAATGAATGTCAGCTGACAAATTCACAAGCCAGTTGGTGACTTTATGACCCTCGATAGCTCTTCCTTCAGGCTGCATTTGCCTATTCAGTTAGTTCCCAAGTCCCGAATGCTCTGCTTCCTCTTCATTCTCCATTTTCACTGCTCAGCCTCCTTGAAACACTGGGCGCCTCTCAGCGATGCCTGGCTAACAGTGGGCTGCCAGCCATCTCTTGTCTCCTTAGCTCACCGTAGTCACCTCTCCCCAAGGACTTAAAGTGTGAGGTAAGTCATACGTCCCTTTGCCAAAAGCCTGTAGTGGCTTTTCTCTTTCTACACAGCAAATACGCAACACATTTGCTTGGCATTCGTGGCTGCTCCTAGAGAAAAGTATGGTGACGTCATGATTTATTATGATGCAAGGATGATGTAATGCAGTGGCTGTGAGCAAGAACAGACTCAATGACACCTAATCATCACAACAAAGTCATCCATTTCTCGTCTCCCTTTATTTTTGTTCTTGCTTTGCTCTCACTGAATTATTCACCCTTCCTTGAAATCGCCACAACCCCACCCTTGCTTCTTTCTCAGAAAGCCCTTTGTCTCTCAGAGTTAATGTGTCAAAATTCTTCTTGTCCAAGACCCAGCTCAGATTGTTTGGGATGCCTTTCCTCCTCCGTTCGCTCAGGAACTCTTCCCACCCTAGTGGCTAATGGATTACACATTGGGCTGTTAATTGCAAGGTCAGGAGTTCAAACTCACCAGGAGACTTGGGAGAAAGATGAGACTTTCTACTCCCATGGAGAGTTGCAGCCTCAGAAGCCCAAAGGGGCAGTTCTAATCAGCCTTACGGGTTGATGAGTGGACTCAACGCCAGTGGGGTCAGTGTTTGAGTCTTCCCTCTGCCCATATCATAGTTTTCGTTTTTTGTTGTTTTCAATATACTTGATTTTTAGCTTTTAGGAAATTTTCATGCTATACTTATTATAATTTATTGTATTGCCTTCTTCTCGAAATATGTCATGATCAATAGGCAAGTCTCCATGCCTATAATGTGCTTGTTGCCCTCCTTAAATGTGCACCCTATTTACAAGCACATAATATGACGGCGAAATGGCCACTTTGTCTCTCCAGTCCAATAATTTGTTACTTGTTAGCTACTCTTTCACTCTCTCTTGTAGTTGTCCATTTACTTTTTAGTTTCTCATTAAGTTGAAATCAAAATGTCTTATTCATGATGGTATCACCACTGACTTAAGTTAGGATTCAAGCACTTAAACCTCTCAGATATTATTCGAACAGATTGTCGAAATAGAAATTTATATATATTTCATTACGAATTAAGTGAAGATTTACAGAGCAGATCGGTTTTCCATCCAACAATTCACACACATTTGTTTCATCTCATTCGTTGCAATCCTCACAATGTACCATCACTTATTCCATTTCTTCTTTGTGTTTCCTATATCCGTACGGCGGTTCTCAACCTGTGGGTCACGACCCCTTTGGGGGATGAATGACCCTTTCACAGGGGTCTCTTGATTCATAACAGTAGCAAAATTACAGTTATGAAGTAGCAATGAAAATAATTTCATGGTTGGGGGGTGGTCACCATAGCATGAAGAACTGTATTAAAGGGTTGAGGCATTAGGTAGGTTGAGAACCACTGCTCTGGCCATAGGGTTGTAGAGATTGAGGTTCATGTGGTCCATTGGACTCACTGTTTCCATGCATCTGTGATTTTCTTCACTCTCTTTTGCTCCAGACAGGGAAAAACCAATAGTTACCCCTTCAAGGGCCACTCATGAACTTCTAAAATACCAATACTATTCCCCAGAGTAGGCTGTTGAACACTGTCTTTGTGTATTGTTATGCCAATTGACTGTGGTGTTCCCTGAGACCATGGTCCTGACTTCCAGGTGCTGTGACTCTCTCAAGATGTTTTGTTATATCTAGGAAGCTTTCAAAACTTGCCCTTTTTATGCTCCACCTTTATGGATATATTTGCAATTAAGGTAAATACATGTGTACAAATATCCTCTGTCATATATATATATATATATATATATATATTCCCTCTCTCCCTTCCATACCTGTTTAGAATGTTCAGCATGCTTGGCTAGCCATGCAGCTATGCACAGGTCACTATTGTTGCAAACTTGTGTATATGATAGTGTCTACGTTTGTTATCTTTAATTCTTGCAAAACTCCCAGTGTCTTCCCTTGCCTCCGCCGTCTTTTGCTGACTTCCCTCGTATTGCCTATGACCTTGTCCTTTATCCAAGTGAACGCATGTCTGCTCTCTAACCAGTAATTTACCCTTTCTTCTCCTTCCATGTTGATGACCATCAAAGTAGGTTTCCTTAATTAGGAAAAAAAAAATGGCTTTTTTTACATTAGTTGTCTCTTACAATATTTGCCCTTTTGTGATCGACTTATTTTGCTCAGCACATTTTCCTCCAGATTTATAAGGTGTTTTGAAAACTCATCTATATTCTTTAATGTTGTATGATGTGCTATTGTGTGTATGTGCCATGGTTTGTTTATTATTTCTTTCATAAATGGGCATTTGGGTTATTTCTGTCTTTGGGCTACTGAGAGTCGTGCTGCAATGAACAGGAGTGTGCACATATCTAGTCATTTCATCTCCACTCACAACTCAAAACTTACTGCCTTGCTGACTCATAGAGACCTCTGTGGGTTTCCAGGCTTGTAACTGTTTATGAGAGTAGACACCCTAGCCTTTCTTCCACTCATGACATGGCTCTTATAAACTAGAACCCTTGCTGTCTCAATCTTCATAGAGGCAGAAGAAAACTAGATACTCGATTGCAAAATAAGCCAATCTCGCAGAAACTTCTAGGTTGTATTCAAAACCATATAAATATCTCACTCACTTTGAGGAGTTGTAAATTACAGAAGTCGAGATTCTAGAGCATATGACTCATATGCTGTGAATCCCCTCGCCCCACTGACAAGGATGGGGGAGGGGTGGTCGTGACTGCCACTTGTGACCATCACTGGAACACATGGTGCTTTTGAGAGACTTGGAAAAAGGGATCTTCCTTCCCTCAGTAAAAACAATACACTAAGGGGGTCCTGATGCCTTTTATCTCAGGATCAGTGCAAGGATCTCCAACACTGCCACTTGAAGAGACTGAAATGCAACCATGAAGCTTCGGAACACAATGGACTAATTTTCTATTTTTCATCTGAGAAATTTAAAGGGCAAGCGGTCCTTGCTTAGAGATAAGTGGGAGAGTTTCCTACCCCGGAGAGTTTATTGAACCAAAGAAAGCCAACACAGGCTCATTTTAAATCCACGCTAAGAGGGCCACATGGAGGGGCAAAGTGAGCTCAGTGAGCTAGCTGCAGGTGACAATAATCCATGGCCTGGGTAAAGATGTGTATTTGTTGTCATCAGAGAGCTATCGATGAGCACATCCAATGATGGCTGTGGTTCTCTAAAGACGCCCCCCTCAAGCTCCCAAAGCTGGCTAGATAGAAGCCAATGGACGACAATACCAAACAAGTAAGAACTTTCTGGTCCCTTCTTCCCTTGCCTCACACCGCCCTCCTCCTATTCCCTGTTCTCACTTGGTTCTCGCAGTATCTGAAACCATGGTTAGCTAAACGGATGAGAAAGACTTCAAGTGGAAGAAGCCAATCATCCCCCTTCCCCAACTCAGGGCATCTCATTAGTAGTAGGCTGTAGCCGTTCTCGGGGAAGACATTTACCATCAAGGCTAGGCTGGCATTTTTATTATTACACGGGCTGGACATGTTCAGTACTGAATTGAAACCTTGAGGATGACCGCACTCCAGGCTCATTTCCTATTCTGACCCCTTTGTCCAGAAACGACTGTTTTCGGTGTGTGCGCTGTCCTGTCAGATCCCATGGCACACTTCATTTCCCTTGCTTGTCTCCTTGCACCTCTTTGCTTGTAAACATCATGCAAACTCTAAGAGGGCAGGGATGAATCAGTCACCTTTGTACCACCAACACCTAGCACTTACTGGCACATAATTGTCTCTCAAAAAAGATTTAACAGTAATTTATCTTAAAAAACAAAACCTAACGTGAAATGATCATAAAGGGACCAGCGTTTAATAGTGGTTTCTAAGAGTGAGCAGGGAGAATGGGCAGAACTATAGTTTAGGAAGTAGTGAGTTTTTGTTTTTGTGGATGGAAATTTTGGCAAAGGGTTTTGGAGTTGGTTGCACAAAACAATTGATATAATGGGTCATACTGGATTGTATAGGTGAACAAATATTAAATTGGAAAATCTTGGCTTTCTATGTGTTTATAACAATAAAAGCATTTTTTAAATTGAGTAGATATATAACATGAAGAAGAACACCCCAGATTTGCCCTGCAAGAGTATATGGCAAACTTGTCTTTCTTTCGGAGGGGACTGTAGCTGACAGTGCCCTTTGTTACCAACAAGTGTCCAGTACTTGGACTGTGCCAGGGGTCACGAGAAAATGCTTGGAGAACTCTCAATTCCAACATGCCTTTTGGAACGGAAGTTGTTAGGGACCTTTTTAACTCCTTGTGGTGTTTCTCCCACAGGGTTCTTCAGAAGAAGCATTACCAAAAACGCTGTGTACAAGTGTAAAAATGGGGGCAACTGTGTGATGGACATGTACATGCGAAGGAAATGCCAAGAGTGCCGACTAAGGAAATGCAAAGAGATGGGAATGTTGGCTGAATGTATGTATACAGGTATTCGCATCAAGCCATTAACTTCCACTAAAATATCTCTTAAGGAGGCAGATGTCAGGTAATTCATATGACCAGAATGGTGCTTCACCCATGCAAGAAGGGATTTGTTCAGCCACTGATGTGTCCTGACCAGGGGAAAGAACCCCTGACATGCCCAAGCTGCCAGCCAAGGAGCATGGTAGCCACCTGATAGAAGTGACGGGTCTTTGTGGCTCCTTGTGGTGATGAATTATGGGCTGCAAAAATAACAGGCTTTAATAAGCAACAAAGAGTGGCAGTCTCAAAGTTTCCTCCAAAGTAAATCTTCATACACCTCCTATTTATTGCTCAATTAACATGAAAATGGGCAGTTGTAGGCCGTGGGGGTGGGGTGGGGGTGGCAATGAAGGTTGTCAATGAGCTCTAACTGCCTCGGATTTGTCTAAATAGAGTTTTAAACCGAGACATTTCACGAAAAAGCCTCCTTCTCTGAGTGCAGTTTTGAACCAATTTGCATTGGTTTACACCGGAAATTAACAGCTCCGAGTTTTAATATAATTTGGCCCTTCAATCTGATAAAGGGACACTGTATTAACTGGCGCGTTTGCGAGGCAGCGTCCTCTCCATCGCCCGTTGGAATGGGTGCTGGCATATGACATAATTACTTTTTCATTCTGCACAGTTTACAGACCAATCAGGTTCTGAGATATGTCCCGAGCCCCCTCAACACACACACAGACCAACCGATGTCCCCAAGGGGATGGCAGCGTTGCAGGAGGGAATGCCAGGGGAAATAAAAGCCTTCCTTGGGAAGGTGACTCCAGCTCCATTGTTCTCACACTGGGATGGACCCAAAGAAATGATCGTGTGGGGGGCGGGGGGAGGGGAGGAGATAGGTCAGTGTATGTCAGCCAGCTCCGGGGGATGAAAGTTTTATAGCGGTCGATCACAATCTCCTGTTAGCAATAGGAAACAAGAGACTGGCCATGAGGGCTCCTGCCGGAATCCAATCTTGGAATGGAAACACTTGGCTCCGAGGACGCAGTAGCTCATGTTGCTCATCACTTAAAGATGAACTTGTTCCACGGGAAGCGCCCCTTGTCCTGACTCGCCTATAAGCGCATCTATCGTATAATTTATGAGCCCAAACTCAGCCAGTTGCAAGGCAGATCTTTCATAGAATTAGGTAAGAAATCACTAGAACTTTGTTTCATTCACATTGAGAGAAAAATATGGAGGTGAACTAAATGGAGATGTGGGCTATTAGTCCACGTTGTTTTTAATTTTCCCCCCAACACTTTTATTGGCCTCTAATTCACATATCATATAATTCTGTAGTTCAATCACATCAACAAGAATCGTACAGTCATCACCTTCCTTCTTATCCTTGTTGTTGTTGGCTCCCCAATTCTCCCCAACCTCGCCTGCCACGCCCCCAAGGAACCATTAATCCAGTTGCTGCCTGTAGATTTACCTATTGTGGATTTTATCTACAGAAAAACATTTTTAAAAACAAGCAAACAAAAACTAACAAGAACAACAAAGCAAAACAGATAAAAACCTCAAATGAACGAAAGTAGAGAATATTTAAAACCAGAACACATTGAAATGGATTATAAGGGAGATCAAATCCACACTGTTTTTTGTTTTGTTTTTTCCCCAGCTCCATTTAAATGTAAATTGATGATGATATTGTAGACCCAGTCTAAAGAAAATTTCAAAATAAACTCAGGGATTTTCATCTTTACATTCTCACCTTTTAGACAATTCTGAAAGTGAATTCAATCCCTCCACCCCCCCCATCCCCAAAGGCTGTTAGCATTTGTTTTACTCTGGAAATTTACTTATGTGGGTTTAATGTGAGATTAAATGTAGTTCTTATGGTGCAGTTATGTAAACATGGATGAAAAGAATAGTAACCTCATGCTTTGACACACCAGTTTCCACCCTCGCTCTGCTCCTAACAATGAACAAATGCCTGACTAGTCTGGGGCAGAGATTTCTATAAATAAAGACTTGGACCTCAGGATCTCTAAGCTTCTCTTACATATCATATTTTTTAATACTGGGGCTCTATTATTTTCCTAATGAATACAGAATGCTTCAAGTATTTCTTATACTGTTTTCTCTTTTTCTTCCCCACCCCGCCCCCAGACCCAAGAGAGGCTCTTGGGTGCAAATGCCTGTGCCTGCTTTGACAGTTTTCTTGTTGGTGGTCCAAATGCAGCCAATGCCTTGCGTACACGCTTACTGAAACTGAGAGCAGCCTTTTATCTCACATCTACTAGCTTCCCTGGTGGCACAGTAGTTATGACTTGGGCTGCTACGTGCAAGGTCAGCAGTTCAAAACCACCAACTTCTCTACGGGAGAAAGACACAGCTCTGTACACCCACAAAGTATTGCGGTCTTAGAAAGCCACAGGGTCCGTTCTAACCTGTCCATGCCCTATAAAGTCACTCTGCATTGGAATCGACTCAAAGGCCGTGAGTTTGGCTTTTAGTTGATCTCACACTTCACTTTTTGAAGACAGTTGTGTTTTCCTCGACTATATAAAACTGAAAAAGATGGACTACATTGCCTCACTATTTTATTGACTAAATATCTTACAATTGTACAATGTTTCACTATTATAATGTCTTTATATAAAGCTCATCTTAAAAATTGATCTGATTACATTTAATCTACACAAAATCCCCCTAACTAGATCATATGCCCATTTTATAACCAAAGACAGTTTTAAATTTGTTCAGCTGTCACACACCCAGTGGGTGCTCCAATTTACTTAATAAAAAGCTGTACTTCCACCAAGCACCTTTCCCCTCACATTTAAATTTGAGGCGGTTTAATTTTCACAGACAACATATTGATTGCCGAAGGGCACAGAACATGCGAGTAGAAGAATCTAGCCGTAAACATTGGCCTTCTCTTTTCGGAACCACAGAAGGACTAGCATTAGCTCTGTGCCAAGCTGCATACCTGAGGTTTTGAGTCTACTACATGCGAGTGGCCTCATGACCATACACCCAACTGGATTTCCTGTGGCTGGTGAAACCTCTGTTTATTTTTTCAGGCTTGTTAACGGAAATTCAGTGTAAATCGAAACGACTGAGGAAAAATGTGAAGCAGCAGACAGACCAGCCTATTAGTGAGGACAGCGAAGGACGGGACTTGCGGCAAGTGACCTCCACCACTAAGTCGTGCAGGGTAATAACGGGAGTGAAGCTTCTAGGTGCACAGGGATCTGGATGGGAGGCTTTTGAAGTAGAGCCACAGCTACAAGCCGAATTCTCATTTTAATTGTACCTCAAATGGATGACTTCTTTTCTTTTTAACCAAGAGAGTGCATGCTTTGGTGTACTCTCAAATAATAGCAGTGTAGGAAGCAAAAAGTGAAAGCCCCCCTTCTCCCAGGCTCAGCCCCACTCAGCCTATCCAGAAAATGCCAGGAAGAATGGTGCAGTGTAGAAAACGACAATGTCCACACTGAGTTTTGAGGACCATTTTCTCCTGCCCTTGAGAACAGCAGCAAAACCCACTGCCAATGAGTCCATCGCTACTCATAGCAACTCTATAGAACACCAGAGAACACTATAGAACACCAGAGAACTGCTCCTGAGGTGTAAATATTCCTCGGGCAGAGAGCCTCATCTTCCTCCGGTACAGTGGCTGGTGGCTTCAACCACGAGGACAGCCGCCCAAGACACAATCCACTACGCCCTCTCAGTATGAGAAGGATGTAGCCTGAATAGAAGCTTCTGGGTTAGTTCATCAGAATGGATAAAACAGGAGGCGTTCACATCTGTGACCCACAGAGAAAAGCCCTGCCCACTGAGGTCCCAAGTTACTTAAGAAACCCTTCAAGAAACGTGGGGCAAAGTCATGTTGTAGAAGCGCTGTGTACAGGATGATGTGCTGTGATAACCATCGTACATCTGGAGAAACTTTAACTTGCCATTAGCTGAAATACCGGGAAGTCAGAAAGATTCAAGCCATTCCCATCTCAATATTTATTATACCAATGATTAAAAAAAAAGTTGTATCCACATTTAATTTGTCAAATAGATCACTTCTGAGGGAAAAAAATGATTTTCATGTAAAATACTACTTTGCCATAAGGCATCGTCAATAGTACTTCCGTAGAAGGAAGGAAAGAGTTGGCGTACTATTCCGTCGCTATTCCCAAGGGAGAAGGTGAGGCTGGGAGTCTTAATTGTCTAGATTGATGATTCTTTTGGGGGGACTCATCAAGTTTTTCTTTAAAGGGCCAGTTTTATTAGGCTATGCACCATATCATCTCTATGAATTCTACTTAATCTTGGTGATTTAGTGGGTTATGTGTTGGGCTGCTAACCACAAGATCAGCAGTTTGAAACCACCAGCCACTCCTTGGAAGAAATATGAGATTGTATACTCCCTTAAAGCCTCTCCCATACCACCTCAGAAACCCACAGGGGCAGTTCTCTGTTCTCCACGGTCCCTGTGAGTTGGAAGCAACTCAATAGCATTGAGTCTGAGCTTGAGTGTGGGCTCTGTCTTTATAGTATGGAAGCAGAAATGGATGTGTGGGTGTGTCCCAATAAAATTTCATTTATAAAACCAGGTGGCTTTTGTTCATGTTCCACTGTTTGTAGACCCTTGCTCTACATGAAAGCCCTTAGATTCTCTGCTTCTTCTGGTGGGAGTTTTCTTTTGTTGTGATTCGATCTTGAACTTTCACTGAACTTCTCCATGAATGGGCTTAATATGTCTCATATCTGGATTAATAGTTAGTTCCAAGAAATGCATAAATGAAAGAAATATTTTATTCCCAGTTACAAATAGGAAAATGTGTGAGTAAATAAGATATTGTCTGCCCAAGGGCACAGACAAAGTCCCAGTGTCCAGAGCTCCTGCCATAGTTAGGATTTTTTCACCATTAATTTCCACACCTAGGTCACGTTAGATGAAGGCTTGTGTAGGGGAAAAGCCTAATTCTCGCCCTAACACCAGCACCTTTTATTTTCTTGCCAGTGTAGGAGAAAACTGAACTTACCACAGACCAACAGAATCTTCTACGTTACATTATGGATTCGTACAACAAACAGAGGATGCCTCAGGAAATCACAAATAAAATTGTATGTATACCATCTGGAAACGTGTGGGTTTAAAGGTCACACATCTAAGTTTCGAAGTGGAACTTACATCTGACTTGGAAATAATGAGAACTGAAGATTAAAGTTATACATTTAAACTTTTGGCAGCATTAAACAATTGAAAAGTGAGAAGTCTCACATCTATTTTGGTAATAATAATCGCTTTCCAAGGATTTGAGAAATTATGATCTTTCTGAGGAACTTTGTGATCTGGTTCTTCATGCATCGAGTGATTTTGCATATGATTTTATATTGATTTGTCCTTTCCTGATGACTTATTAATCATTTGCATTTTATGGGGTTTCCCTTAAATTTTAGTTAAAAGAAGAGTTCAGTGCAGAAGAAAATTTTCTCATCTTAACTGAAATGGCCACGAGTCATGTACAGATTCTTGTTGAATTCACCAAAAGGCTGCCAGGTATGCCAACCGAAGGGGATCGGTCTGCGGCCCGGTACAATCTTCTTGCGGCATTCAGAAGCATTCCATTTTAAAGTGGAAGTGGTAAAAATGTGTGGGCCTCCTGGATGCATTAATTTAATATATCTAACAACCATAGACATGACATATTAAAGCCAGAAAAAATACCTTTGAAAACAATTTCGATTTATTCTTCCAAATCGGTAAGGATGTTGAGACCATGCAAAGTTGTCATTCACTCACTTATTCACCCATTGAGTATTTGTTGATGACTACCACATATACTTAGCACCATTATTTTCAAGAATAGTGCTTAATGTTATGATTAATTAAATATCCGTATGCAGTATTTTGTTTGGGAAAGAAGGGGCCTTCAGAGGGGATCATATGTGAGTTGTGTCTAAAAGAAAACACAGGTTTCAAGGTGATGTGTAGGAGAAGGGAAATTTCAAGCAGGAAACAAGAATGGGACAATTAAGAGATGAGAGAGAAAATATGGTGTGACAGACATTCAGAGGTGCCTCAGAAGAAAGTCCTGGTGATCTGCATATGAAAGGTCCCAGTCTTTGGAAACCCTATGGAACACAGCTCTTTGCTGACACACATTGGGTCGCTGTGAGTCAGAATTGACCTGATGACAACGGGTTGGATTTTGGTTTTGGAGCATGTTTTCAGTGTTTCTAGAGGTATAATAGGTTGGTACTAAAGCGATATGAGTCTATATTACATAATAGAAACCTTGTCCCTTGGATGATAAAGAGTTTCTTGTGATTTTTTTGAAGTGGATGAGAAATTATAAGATTTACGTTGTAGAGAGACGATCCGTCAGCTTTATCTGTATTTTTGAGTCAGGAGAGGCATGAGGCAGATCAGTTAGCATGTTATCGTCCCCATCCAAGTGAGAGGGCCTAAATACAGAACCAAATGAGTAGGAGGGTTTGATGAGCAGTGGTATGTGTGGGGTGAGAAAGATGGATGGGTCCCCAGGCGTTCTGATAGATGGGGAAAGTACAGACAGTGGAGTGCAGATGTCTTCCCACCACATCATCACTGCTATCCTACTCTAACAGATTGAAGGGAATTAAGTGGGCTTCAAAGATATTAGTACATTAGGAGCATTTGGCTTGGGAAGTAGAACAAACACCTAGTGGAGCAGCATGTTGTGGTGCACTGTGCTGCTGATTCTGACCAGGACAGAGAGAACCGGCCTATAGCTCTCCCAGCTGGAACCTTTAAGGGAGCAGGTCGCCAGGCCTTTTCCCTGCAGAGCCACTGGTGGGTTTGAGCTGTTGACCTTTGAGTGAGCAGCCAGGAGCTGACCCTTGGGCCATCGGGGATCTTAATGTAGCAGCATTATATTGGAATATTGAATTACAGAAGGTAACTCTCTGGCACAGGACTTTAATTAGACATGTTAATGTGCCTTCTACTTGCCAGCATCGTGATATTATTTTATTAAATGTGTCACAGATACAAGCATATGCAAAACTCATAAAGTGTGGGGAGAAAGTTCTCACTATCATCGAAATATTAATAGAGTCTCATTTCTTTATTAACAATGAAAGAGGAACTTAAGGCGTGATATGCTAATTAGGGCGATGGCACTTGGGATCAAAACAAGATTATGTAAGAGCAGAAACTGTGGGGGCGAGAGACTGGGAAAAGGTGAAGTATGATGTTTGGGGACACAAATAGGAGAAGAATGTTCAGTTCAACTGATGCATTATTAATTAAACAAAACAAAACCAAAAAGGAAATCATTGAAGATAACAACAAAATCTTATTAGTAAGAAGGTAGGTAATATCAGAGGAGCTATAAATGTTGCATGTCTCTTAAATCCCAATGCTTAGCACAATTCTTGAGAGAAAGAGTACAATTCATGCTCAATACGTTGTTTCATTTTAAAGCAGTGGCTGCCAAGTTAAGTCCAGCTCACGATGACCCAGGTAGGCCAGAATGCAACCCTGTGCTCCCTAGGGCTTCCATTGACTGGCTATCAAAAGTAGACCCCCGGGGTTTGCTTCCCAGGTGCCTCTGGTAGGACTTGAACCACCGACTTTAATCCTTAACATTACTCTCCTCTCTAAATTCCCAGTTACGGTTTAATCTTTCCTATTTAGACCCTGATGGCATTCATTGGCCTCTGTTTGTATGAAACTATGTGTGTTCATGTGCATGAAAATATATACACGTGTGCTGTATGGACCCATTTATTGACTCGATGACTCGACAATAATTATTGAGTGCCTCTTACATACCAGACACTGGGATAGAGATGTGGAAAAAACCAAAGTCTTACTAACCTAAGGATTTTACCTTCTCGTAAAGGAGCCAAACAACCAACAGATAAGCAAAGAGATCTATAATTCCTTCAGGGAGTGGTAACAGATTGAACAAAAATAAAGCAGATAGGGGTCAATGAGCACTGGAGAGTGTTTTAGGGAACCTTGAGTATTGCTGTGAGTTGAAATCAACTGGTAGGTAAAGGTGTGTGTGTGTGTGTGTGTGTGTGTGTGTGTGTGTGTGTAACCCCTGAGGCGGAAGCAGTGTGTGTGTTCAGAGCGTAGACAGAAGGTCATAGAGAGAGCAGGGCCATCAAAGGAGCAGAGGAGTAGAAAACAAGACCAGAGAGGCAACCAGAGTCTGTACCATTGTGTAAAGGCTGCATTTGTTTTTTAGGGCCGCTGCGACAAAATATCATAAACAGGGTGGTTTTAAATAACAGAAATGTACTGTCACACAGTTCTAAAGGTTAGAAGTCCAAGTCAAGGTGTCAACCAGGCCATGTTCCTTCCAAAGTTTACAGGAGAAAATTCTTGTCTCTCCAGCTTCTGGTAGCACCAGACTTCCTCGACTTATTGTAGATACATGCTCACATGATCTCTTTCCTCTCTCCTCTCGTCTCTCTTCTCTCTCCTCTCTCCTTCACTCTTTCTGTCTCATATCTGTTTAGACCAACCCTACTCCATTAGGATCTCATGTTACCTGCTAACCTCTTAAAAGATTCAATTTCCAAATAAGTCATGTTGACAGCTACCAGAGGTTAGGGCTTAAATCTATGTTTTGGAGAAACAAAATTCAATCTATACCACAGGCAAATTACCAAATTTTGGTTTTGTAGTTATTAGGTACCTAGCCTTGAGGGAGCCACACCAGAGACTTATGAGCCCGAAGAAGGATTTCATATGTCTAGGCAGTGTTAATTCCTCTACCCTTGTGGTATAGTGCTGAGCTTGGATAGATATTACAACATGACTTCCATCGGTTTTGTTGGAAATGATACCCATTCTCCAGAGGGACGAACATTTCTTGAGTCAGCCAACTAGCCTTTAAGCCTCTGAATTTACACAAAAATGCTGCTGTTATTCGACCCTTGACCCTGTGCCATCAGTTGTGACTACAATAATGACTCAAAGAGAGTTAGACGGACTACCTCCAACTTCTAGAGATTGCTTCATTTTAATCAGCCTGCTCCCTCCATGGGTGTGAATTTCTGGGTCTATGTATCTGTATCTGTGTTCTTGGATGGCACAAGTGGTTTGTGTTTAACTACTAACCTAAAGTTTCACCACCTAGTGATGCCAGAGAGGAAAGGTCTGGCAATCTGCTTCTGTAAATGCTGCTGTACACAAACAAACACAGAATACCCGGAGCAGCTCTGCTCTGTAACACAGGAGGCCACCATGACACCATGAATCAGAAGGGGCTTCAGGGCAACAGGTGTATGCCAACATACATTTAAGTCCTAAACCATGCCCGTTGTCATCTAGTGGATTCTGACTCATCGAGGCCCTGGATAAGGTTTCTGAGCCTATACACCTTTATACAGGAGCAGATGGTCTCAACTTCTCCCCACGAGTTCCTGGTGGGGAGGAGCCACTGATCTTTGTCCATCTGAAGACTGGGAAGCATTTTCCAGCAAGACCAATAAACGTCATGTTGTGGTATCCAAGCTCAGCACTGTATCATGAGGGTAGAGAAATGTGAGGACTTGGCAATATGAAGAAATTAACCTGGTCTGGGAAATCCAAGAGCCTTCTCAAGGAGCCCTGGTGGTGTAGTGGTTATGCTTTGGGCTGTGATCCACAAGTTCAGCAGTTTGAAGCCACCAATTGCTCTTTGGGAGAAAGTCTGGGATTTCTCCTCCTGCGAAGAATTCCAGTCTCAGAAAGCCCTAGGGGAAATTCTGCCCTGTTATATGGGGTCGCCAGGTGCTGCCACTCACTGGATGGCTGAGCTTTTGAGCATCCAGGCATATGAGGCGTTTGTTGTGAATTGGGCAGCATCTTCCTCGATATGAAATTTGGCATGGACTGACATCGCTTTTGCCTCACCTGTTCAATAAACCCTATGAAAATAAAACCAACTTCGATTTGGGGTTGTGGAATAGATTCTTGTAGACTCAACTTGACCATGTAATCTTGAAATAGTAGCCCAAATCACTTTCTGGATATGTTCTCATACAGTATTCACAGCTCCTTGAGACTGATTTGATTTTCATCTTATCAGGATTTCAGACTTTGGACCACGAAGATCAGATTGCTTTGCTGAAGGGATCTGCAGTGGAAGCTATGTTTCTCCGTTCTGCGGAGATTTTCAATAAGAAGCTCCCAGTTGGGCACACGGACCTCCTGGAAGAGAGAATCCGGAAGAGTGGTAAGTGGTTTGGGTAGGCACGAGGGTTTTGTTCTCTGTAAGTCGGGATAGATGCGCTCCATCAAAGCTGCGCTCATGGTTCCCTTCACCTACCCACCCACTGCCATAACGTCCTTTCTCACTCATAACGTGGTCTGAGTTATTCTAACTCATCATAGGGTTTCCGAAGCTGTACCTTGGAGCAGACAGCTTCATCTTTCTCCCAAGGACCGGCTGGTAAGTTTGAACCCCCAACCTTGTATTTAGCAGTCCACTACTTAGCCCGCAGTGCCTCCGGGGCTCCTCTATGCAATATGATATGCCCACTGTGCCTGACAGAGGGAATGGCTCTCAAAAAATGTATTCAGTAGATGGAATTTTAAAGGTTTTGTAATAGGATGCTATGAAAAAAATTACTCTTTTTACTCTTTTTACTACACTTTGGAATTTGACTTGATCTAGGGTTACTACTTATTAGGTATGTGTCCTATATTTTTAAAAGCTATAGGTCCTCTAGCTAGTCTGGGGAGGAAGCTGAGGCTTTCTACTGCCATAGACAGTTACCATCTTAGGACCCCGCGGGGCGTTCTCCCTGTCGTAGAGGGTCGCTAGGAGCCAGCATTGACTCGATGGCAGTGAGTTGTTTTTGTTTTTTCAACTAGTTTGATCTTTTTAAAATCAGAGTTGATTTTGATAGTTTTTTCCTGCAGTCTTACCTGGATTTTGACATTAGATACCCCATAAGGTGAGGACTGTCCTTTTTTTTGGCTTACAGTTTACCCCAGGCACTAAATACATGCTTAGATTGCAGTAGATGCTCTTGAGGCGCAAATGAAATGAATGAATGGAGATTTGTCTGAAGCTCTGAATCTTGCCCATTTGTTTACTTTTCAAACGATCCTGGCCCTAAATATCAGGTTGACTGGTATCATGCTGTCTAGCAACTAACCTACTAAGTGCCTTTTCTCTGGACCTTACCTATAGTAATTAATTTGGGGAACAATAGCCTTTGCATTTGAAGATAAGAAATGGAAACAACTGCTTGGGTTGGGGACCTGTGCTATGTTAGCTCTCCTTCTTCAGGATGAATCATTCAAAGTCTATTCACGTGGCAGGGCAAAAAAAACGGGCATGCGCTCTCTGCTGTATTCACTGAAATGTTCTGAAGAGGTGGCATTTGAAGTAGAAGGATGCAGCAGCTGTCCCATCTCTCTCCTGGGTGCTCAGCTTCTGTTTGTTTTCTGTGTTAGGCAGGCTTGACTAGAGAAACAAATCCAGTGACAGTCAAAGATGTGTAAGAAGGAGCTTTCTATCAAAGAGTAATTGTATGTTAAGAAACAATCCCAGCCCAGTCCAGGTCAGGTCCTTACATCCAATATAAGTCCATAAATCCCTCTTCGGACTCATGCAGCACATGCAATGATGCAAATTGCAGGAAGATCACAGGCTGGTGAATGCAGAGTCTTGTGGATCCAGTGGTGGTGAAAGCATCTCCAGGGCTCTCACAGGTCTCAGGGTGGCTCCATGTGGCTTGTGAACAGGAAGGTGAAAGCAGAGTGTGTGTGGCCCGGCTCCAGGGAGAAAGAGAGAGGGAGGCTAGCCTCAGAAAGCCATTTCTGTGACCTTGATGGATCGTCTAAACTCTGCCCACATGTTCCTATGGAAGCTGTGTTGGCACAGAAAGCCTAACAATCACATTCTCTTTGTCTGGCTCCATCAAATCTCCCGGGTCCTGGCAAGTCCTCCCCCCTACCCCCCACTGCCATCAAATCAATTCTCACTCATAGTGATAATTTATCTAGTTAGTGTTTTCAAATACTGTAAATCTTTATGGAAGCAGACAGCCTCATCTTTCTCCCAAAGGGAAGCTGGTGGGTTTGAACCACCAACCTTGTGGTTAGCAGCCCAGTACCTTACCCACAGCACCACTGGACTCCATATCTAGTGTCTCACTAATATGATGACCTTCCTCAGAGTGGCTGCAGTGGAACATATCCCTTCTCATTCTGATTCAGCCGAAAGAAAATAGATTTCAAAAAATTTTACTAGAAAACTAAGAGGGAGACTGAGTTTTTATAAAAGCCATATATGCATACTGCACAGATATATTAATCATAGTATTAAAAATGACCAATGATTCATCATGTATTATATGTCAGGCTCTATTCTAAGTGTTTGTGTGAATGTGGGCTCTACTAGAAGCTGCAACCAAGATGAGATTAGACTTATTTTTGGGGCAAATGCCTCTGAAGAGAGGAGGCCTGGTAGCATAATGGTTTATATATTGAGCTTCAAATTACAAGGTCAGCAGTTCAAATCCACCAGCCACTCAGAGGGAGAAATATGAGGCTTTCTACTCCCGTAAAGAGTTCAGCTCAACCCAACTCACTATCATCGAGTTGATGCCAACTAATACTAACTCGATAGGAGAGGGCAGGGTAGAACTGCCCCTGTGAGTTTCCAAGACTGTAACTCTTAATGGGAATCAAAAGGCCTGGTTTCCTCCTGTGGAGTGAACTGCTAACTTTGCAGACTGCAGCCCCATGTAACCACCACACCTCCAGTAAAGAGTTACAGTTTCATAAACCCAGAGGGACAATATAGCAGTCTGTCCTTTTGGGTCATTATGAGTCGGAATCATCTCGATGGTAGTGCGTTTCCTGAAAGCTTCAGAAGAGTGAAGGAGACACCAGCCTCCTATTGGCTTCTTTCCACACTGGCTACCCTCCCTCGGTCATTTTGAAAGTTGCACTGTCACATCCGACACTCCTGGTTGTGAAGGCACTTGGTTTTCACTTTGCTTTCCATGTTCTGTCCTAATAAGTTTTAGGACACAGCTTCTATGGGTTGTGAGATACATCTAATGAGAAGAAGTCAAGGTCTTGGTAGATCCACTGTAATGTGTCAGGATCTTTGAGAAAGCTCTGGGAATTCGTAACAGGCAGGCAACCAAGAAGGGGGCATAAGAGGGTTTCAGGAGTGCTTTCTACAGTGGGTTAAGTGTTTGTTGGGTCACTAACCACATATTTGGTGGTCAAACCTACTTTGGGAGAAGGAAGAAGCTGTTTGCTCCCATAAAGGTTTATACCCTTGGGACCCTTATATAGAGTTGCTATGCATCAGAATTGGCTCAACAATGGCAGTGTGTTTGGTTTCTGGTTCTTCACCAGAACAGAAGAGTATGTCAGATACAAGATACAGTTCCAGAGCATACCATAGGATGTGGGCTTCAAGGAAGTGCAATCAAGCCCCAAGAGAACTGCTTAGAAGAAGATGGCTCCCCAAATGTAGTCAGTGGATCAACACAGGGATCATCACAAGGAATAAGGCCAGAGCCAAGTTCCTAGAATAAGATATAACCTGAGGATCGCCATGGTTTCTGAACTCTGAGGCAGGGCTGAACCAATTGGTGTGAGCAGAGTGTTTCCATCCATAAAGACACGGGAGCTGCAGGAACGGGGCCAGACTGATGCGTACTTGCAGAGTCCCCTGGGTTCTTACGGTCTTAAGTTGCTGGTGCCTCTCTGTACTTGATCTATCACCTGCCTCCAGGGGGCAGCAACAAATGTTCTGCCTCTTCCATGTTTGCCTATCCCTTTTTCAAATTTAGCATTTTCCACTTTCTTCTTCTCTTTTAAAGGAGACTTCTAATTAATGGATCAATTGTAAAGTAGAGAAAACTAATACTCCCTAAACCTTAAGAATTGTTTAACCTTTTTGACCAAGGTTATCATCTCAGACTGCATCCCCAAATTTCTCAGGTTGGAGGCTCATTAGTCATCCTTCTTTCTTTAGAAACTGATGGTTCCCATTTGTTTCTGTCAAGATGGTAACATCCAATAACCATGAGAGACTATTTCTATCAGGACTTTCATTGTTTTTGTTTATCCCTTTACTCAGTTTTTTGAAATACTTTTATTGAGTACTTACTATGGGCCAGGTTAACTGGGATACAGAAATTAATACAATAATGTCATAACCTTTAGATACTTCATCTTCTAGAAAGAGTAGATATGAAAAGAACTAATTGCAATTGAGTATCACTTATGCATTAAGCTAGAGGCTTTAACAGTAATGCAAGATATAGTCATTTCTATCTTGTAATATCTGACCAAAGGGCAGTTCACAAAGGTAAGAACCCTGGCTCCCTCTGTCTTGCTGCTCATCCTTCCATAGAGTTTTGACTGTATCTACAGTGTCCAGAATGGCTCACCACCACACCCAGGTGCCAGCCAGTGGTGAGGGGAAAAGAAGGACCCGTGGTGGCATAATGGATTAGGTATGGAACTGCTAACCATAGGTCAACAGTTTGAACCTACCAACTGCCCTTTGGGACAAAAAGTTTCTTCCCACAAAAATTTACAGCCTCTGAAACCCTGAGAGGCAGTTCTATTCTGTTCTATAGGGTGGCTGTGTGTTGCAATCAACTTGATGGCAGTAAGACCCTCCCTGCAATGGAATGTTCCAGCAGCGGCCCACCCTACTCCCTTCACATCCCATTGGCAATAGTTTAGTTTCCTGGTCACACCCAGATTTAAGGGGGCCTGAAAAACCCATCTTTATTCTGGGCTGTCATATGCCCAATTAAGAATTCTATTTCTACATTATAGAACATTGTTTCTCAACTGGCAGGATTTTGCCTCTCAGGACTATTTGATAAGTATGGAGCCTTTTTTTATTGTCATGACTAAAAGGGAAGAAATATTACCAACATCTGATGGGCAGAGAGGCAAGGGACACTGCCTCCCACTGCAAGGAATGATTTGGCCGAATTATCAGTAGTTCATAGGTTGAAAAACCCTGTCTGGAGAAGGAGAATGTGGATATTAGGGGACAAGTGACAGTGTCTTCTCCGTGTGATAAGTGCTGTAGTAAATGTTTGGAAAGGTGGACAGCAAAGTGGCACTTTATTGCAGATTTTTCTGTCTATATATTGAGTGACTCATTCAACATGTATATAAGGGGGTACCTAAAAAAA